TGTGTGAAGGGGAGTTACTATCATATCTGAAAAATATTTGGTAGAGGGCCCAGTGCCGCCCCCTCTCTTTCAATGCTGCCTTGCTGAAGCGTATCTGATAGGACACCAGGAAACAGCTGCGTCTTATCGCCCAGAGCCAACAGGTGTCCTTGTGAGAAGGATTTGTGACGTGAATGCTGAACTTCACCTGCTGACCAGGCCAGCTGAACTCAAACTGTGGTCACGCCACCAGAGAAGAAGCATAGCAAGGACTTTTTTGTGAATGGTAATGTCTATGGCCTCTGAAGAACAGGAACGTGTTAATGATTCCCAAAACAAGTGTGATGAAGTGTATTTTGAGTCAAGACATCAAGTGGCACCAAAGTGTGATTCATCCTCGATATACATGTGTTTTGTCCATGAAGTGCTGGTTAAATAATTCAAAATTCAAATTGTCAAAATTCTGGAAATTTGGTTTTATTCATTGTATAAAACAAAATGCATTCTGTGGCTTAAAAGGCAGCAATGTGACATAACTGCACATTTCCCTTCTGATAAATCCTTTTTCCTGCTCAAAGCAAGGCAACCTTTTTGAATTGTACTTGTCAACATGTGGTAGTTCAACGTGGTTTACATAATACATTAAGAATAAAAGAACAAAATAAATTACAGGAAAATGAATAAAGTGTCAGCCTAAAAGAAAAGCAACAGAAAAGTGAAGAAAATAAAGACTGTATAACAAGTGAAATAATTCAATAATACATTGCATATAAAAAAAACAGCATGAAGTTTATTCAAAAGCAATTGCAGGTAGCACTGATTTAAAAGTAACAAAAGCTAAGATATGTCTTTTATTACCTGGAATTTTGTTGCAGATCTGTGCAGCGTAGTAACTCAACTCATCTTCTCCAAGTTTGGAATTAATTCTGGGCACAATCAACGGACCAGTGATGACCTGAGAGGTCAAGAGGGCTCATACAGTAGCAGACAATCAGGGATGTACTTTGGCTCCAAATCTTTATGTGAGTCATGATCACCCTGTACTCTAAAGATCATTGAGGAGGCATCCTTATTTTGAGTTAAACACAGTGTTGAGTAACAGCAGATAAAGCAAGCTTGAAAAAATTGATGAATTTGGCAGTTTAACTCATACACAAACAGGAGATTGTATTCTGCTCACTTAAACTAAACAGGTCAATTTTAGCAGTATTTAGCAGCAGAAGTGCAGAAATGCTGTATAATTTGTTGCACATAATTCAACATGTGATAAAGCATTTAATGACTCTGTGATGACTCAGAATGAAGGGTAAATATTCATGGTAGGATTATGAGACAATGGGCCCCTGGGCACAGACATGTAAAAGACTGAAAGAGACACAAAGGAACTACTACTGAAACATGGCCACATCGTTTATAGTCTTGTCTTTTGTAGTTGTTTTGTATCTCTTAGTGGTACATTTTTTTCTGTTTGTAGTCATTTAATGCCTCTTTGTGGTCATTTTTTCTTACATTGTGGTAGTTTTCTTCTTTCTCTGTTGTTATCTTGACTCTTTGATGTCTGTTTGCATCTTTTTGTGGTCAATTTGCATCTCTTTGTGGTTTTGCATCTATCTGTGGTTGCTTTGTTGTCAATTTGTGTCTCAATTTGTGTCTCTCTGTGGTTGTTTTGTGTATCTTGGCAGTTGTTTTGCATCTCTTTATGGTTGTCACATCAGACAATAGAGACAACAATCCATCATGTGCATTATAGTTGATGTATAAGAAATAAGAATTAATGATAAAGCCAGACTGCAGTTTGCATTTAGTTTTTTTGAGAGCTTGGAACTGGACACTTTTTTTTTATGTGTTTCTCTAGTTGTGTGTTGTTTTTATGTGTGCATGACATTAGTAGATAAGTCAACGCATAAATCCTTCTTTTCCTTTGTGTTTCTGTTATATTGATGAAGTTAGACACACCCACACCCGCATTATGGGAAACAACATTATCAAAGCAGTGGAAAGCCACAAAGGAACCCAGCCATTAATGACAAAACAACAATAATGGTAAGGTTTAAAGGTTACAGTTGATGCTGTAGTATGTTGTGCTCAAGGGCAAAGCAAATCCATGTTAGTGAAAACATGGCAAGGCACATTCTTCAGAGAACACAGTTTGTTAATTGGATTTCCATTTCATATCAAAGATCATTAATCCAGGGCAGTCTCCCTCTAATGCATTTTTCTCTACTATTAATTCTTGTTTTTTATGTCAGCAACAATATGTTTTGCTTAAGAATAGCACA